GTGAGAGTCATGGACTTCGAGTCGTTAAGTATTTCACGAAAATGAACGCTCCATGGTTGCTGAAGGCCTTTGCGCGGCGGTGCTCATCAGCCAGTTTTAATTAAATGTTACCCCTCAGCTTGAATTCCGTAGTCAATCAATGTTATTCTGTTTTATCTTTGATGAACTCATCCGGTGCGAACCTGTTTTTAGTCTTGCCCGATGCAATTTTTTTGTTACTTCTGTGGCTTTGAGTGCATATTCAGCGGTATGGAGAAGAACTGGCTTCTAGATAGGTTCATTTGGATTGTAGGCCCTCGCGCTTTCGTCCGCATTTCCATCCAGGTAGGCATTTGCACACATCATTACTTTGAAAGCGCTAAACCCCGAACCATAATGTGATTCCTGCAAACACCGCTCGCGCTCTTATTGCATGCACAATCTTTTCTGTGGCGGTAAGCATTCTACATTGGTCATCCGGTTTTACTATTGGCCTAGACCGCACCAGATAATGTCTAAAACAATGTCACTCACATGGTAGTCGTTTGCCTATTTCTCGGTACGGTGGAAAGCGAACTATCCGTGCAACCTATTCCAAGATGATTACTGCTACTATAACCATGGAGCCCAAGTGAAGCGCTTGGGGCGATAGACATGAAATGTGTGCCTTTAATAGCCTTCCGAAAAAATATAATTTCTCCTGAATAGTAATAACTAACAATAGGGAACAAGTAACTGTTCAGTGTTATTTATCGATTATCACACAGTCATTATAATTCCCTTCAGTAATTGTTTCGTGTTCGTTAAGGGTCAGTTTTGTTGTCCGTTTGAGACATGTTTCAGAGGTTTATACCGCACTGGGCTCCCACAAATATAAGATTTTTTGAGTCGTTTTTTCTGTAATCGCTGCTCTTAGGGAATATTTTCTGTTAAGAAGCCTGGTGGACGCTACGTGCAAAGGAGATGAAATCAGCAGCTGTTCCAACTCATCTGTGCTATGGTTGCTATGCGTTGGTGAAACAGTCCGCGAATTAGGCGTCACGCCAATATACTGTCTTCACCGACACTCGGAATGCTGAAATGAGCACTTCATATCGCAGTTCAACCAGCCCCCCCCCCACACTGGCATCCTTTTAAGAGTGCAACCTAGTGGGTTCCTCCCGTGAATAACGATGAGGTCAGCCGATGTGTGTTAGGATCAGATAATCTTCCATTGAGGAAAACAATTTCGCTGCATCGTCTTAGGTGTTTGGGGCTTGTCCTACGAATGCGTGAACTGCGCCTGCCATACCGTGCACTATTTGCAGATATCGGTCCGGGCTGGAAGAAACAGTAAGGTGGGTAGGCTATGACTTGGCATAGAGGATTAAAGAGATTGCGCTCGGATCTGGCTTCCGTCGGGGCTTCCAGGCTCCCCGGCATGGGCCCCAAAGATTCAGATTGTCTTTGGCTGGAAACACTGTGGGATATGGCATCGAACCGAAGTCAGTGGCGTGAATGCATCCATTCCTGTGTGCGATCCCAAAAATAAAACACAAAAACGTAAAGATATCGTGCAGTAAAGTAACGAACGAATTTGTTATTCGCCAATTTGATTGTTTTATCCCCTTTTTCTGTTTCTATATTTTGTGATAAACCCAGGGTTGTTCTGGCACCGTATCTGTAAAGATTGGTGTTTAATATACATCCAACCAATAAGAAGAACATTTTCTTAAGGCGTTGATAAACGAAGTCTTCTTCAAAGTCCCTCGCCGTGCGATAGTGATTATTTTCTCTTAGGGTTTCACTAAATAGCAACCATGTTTGGGACAAATAATCCTCTTCTGGGGTTTGTGGCATATGTATCTAACGTATCGCTCAACCATCTCATAGGAAGCATTGTGATTCTGGTGAGGCATCTTTATTCGGACGGTCTTAACTGTTTTACTTTTGTCGTAGTAATTTTAATGTATAGCCAGACTTGGACTGGTGGCACTGGCACGCTGCAGGCTCCAAGGTCGGCGGTTCTAACCCTATAACCACCATCCAACTAGAAGTGTTTGCTATCGCCTTGCTCGATAATCTGCATGATGCCACCTCACACAACTCGTTATTATCTCCTCAGCACGTCATCTGTGATCCTCCACGTGGCTCCCCCTCCCATGTTACAGCGACTACGTACGGGGCTACACAAGGTAGACGATTACTAAACATGCACGACACAGTACCTCATATTTGGAATCCATGTTTCCAGTTTTGCGGTTGCGCATGTCCCTGAAATTATCGCCCCAGTTTTTGGGAAGCTTGCTCCGGTTTATTTTAGTTCACTTTTACCGGAATCCATTCGTCACTATTCCATTCCGTTGCATCGGTGCGCATACCGTGTTGGTTTCTCGGCTGATAGCTCTCTGCTCACTTATGATGCACTACTATTCACATTGTCCTCGTTCGACCAGGGGACATTTTTCTTTGATTAGCGAGAGATAACCCTTACTTTTTGACCACCATCTGGATTCATGCTCATTTGAGTCCTCATGCGAGCGTCTTTTTCTTTCTATAAATGATGCTCTAAGATCAGAATTTTGAACGTTGCCACCACTGCCGCCCAACTTCGATATTTTCCAGCATCGTTTGACACGGAATATATTTTACGATGATATTCTTCTTCTTCTGCTTGTAACCCCCTTCGATCACATTTTTCTGGCTTTTCTTTTCAACCCATGAAAGATTTGACGTATCATGTATTGTCCATCGGGTTAGTTTAGATCCACTTCGTGTCCGGTTGCCTTGATATGACCGTTGTGGTCAGTCTGACATCTTTATGGGCATAGTTGCTATACCTGCTCTGAATGCGTTCCCGCAGTTCACACGCACATGCACGTAATCTTAAGTTGAATGACTCGAGAACTCGTTTTGGTTCCGTTCTGTGAGATGCTGAACTTCAGTCACGCTATGCGTGTAGACACTCCTGATGAGTTGATCGTTTAGTGGTGGTGAGCCGCCCTGATTCGATGAAATGATTTTGTGGTGAGTGCTAGACTTACTTCAGCGCTGTACACTAAAGCCCAAGTTGCCTTAATAAAGGCAAAACTCACAGCGCAGCTTTCTATTCTCTGGGACCGAAGTGAGAAGTGATACAGTTTGAGCTAATTGACAGAAGTAATTAACAAGAAGTTAAATACTTTGTTTTTATGGTGTTTTTTTCACGCCGTGCAGCTTACCGCAACAATAGGACCTTCGCTGATAGTCATCTACAGTATGCATATGGGTACTACCATTGTATTAGTTCAAAGCAGGAGCTCGAATAAAGCTCTCATGCACAACCTTCAGCGGTTAAGATACTCTGGAGAGAACAGTGCTTAATTGGCAGTATGGAGCACTTCTAAAAATACCTATTCGGTTAAACCGTCTATCTTTGAAATCCACCGAGTGGATATTGTAACGTTCTTCGCATTATCACGTTTCCTATCTTCGACTTCCGTTAATTTACCATCTATGGCTCATTGAACCACATTGGTACACATGCTCCTTTTTAGTGCTCGTCTGATGAAATAGTTAGGAAACTGACAATCAGAAGATTTACAACTTCACGTTTTGTTCCCAATATGTCCTCGGACTGCTTAGTTTATTACTGTTTGTCCCGTTTGTTTACAGATGCTATCCACATAGTCAGTTATCATGACTTCCCAAGCCCAAAACTCCTACACACAACCTCCGCCACCACCGTCTGTGCCATCGCAGCAGCTTCAGCCGCAACAGTCTCAACCTCAGGGCTCGTCGGATCCGCTGAACGATTCCCTAACCGAAGTTCTCCCGAACTACTTCAGCCTGAACTACGCGCAACAAGCCGCCTTGTTCCTAGCGAATGCTGCAGCAGCTGCCGCGGCGTCCGCATCAGCCTCGTCGCTTGGTGCCTACAATTCCTCCGATGCGCTTGGCACCATGCGCGGAACGGCTTCTGCCCAGAAGACGCACTCCAATCACATGACGCCTGGGCCCTCGTCCACTGTACAGGATTCCCCTTCTTATCTGAGTAACAACCAGAGTATCATTAATACTGCTGTTGGTTCCCAGTCCAAGCATTCCTCACTACAGCCTCCTTTAACACCGAACAAACAAAATCAGCGCGGCAAATCATCGGTAACAGTGAGTACAGCAACAACATCGGCAACTGGTACTGTAGCAGATAAGCCAAATTTCTCCAGTGCTCATATGAACAGTTCGGCCACTGCAGCAATGGGTAAGTGTGTTTCCTGCTCAACCGATTTGCTTTCCTGTTCTATTCTTTCACTTCCTACTATTTTTTCTGGGTTAAACTCTCGGTCGAATGGTGTTAAAGAAATGATTACTGCTGGACGATTTACTGTCATCTCAGGTGTAAGAGCAAAGTAGTGTTTTTGAATAATTTGAAAAATGATGGGAGTTAAACTTGAACTCTCTTCTCGCGATACGAGTTTGTGCCGTTTAAATGCCTTTTGGTTTGCTTTAACATCTCTATCACTTCAGTGTGTCTCTGTTTTGGTTGGAAACAGAAAAAAACTGGAAATCAGTCTTTTTACTGTGAATTGTACACTTTTAGAGCATTTAGCCGCTTACTTTTAAAATGTTTGCTTTCCTGGAAACTGCGAATGCTACAGGGGGTCTCGTTTTACGTTATTGTTATGTTAGCGATAGAACAGCAAACAGAAATGCTTCAATCAATCAATCAATCAATCAATCAATCAATCAATCAATCAATCAATCAATCAATCAATCAAACAAACAATCAATCAATCAAATCAATCAATCAATCAATTATTAAATCAATCAGTCAATCAATCCATCAATCAATCATGTGGAACATCCAATGATACACAGTTGATCCAGCGTCTGTTATGTTTGCCACATTTGAATTTCTTTTTGACAAGTACATTAACATTACTATATAGACTATACTATAGATATTGCCTAGTACAAGTCAATTGGAGAAACACAGACTTATTGTTCGATGAACACTAGAGATCATAAATAAAGTTTATTTCGTCATATTCGGTTGGACTCGAATTCCCGTTTTGTTATCAGGTACGCTCATCCAGCTGAGACTGGAAAGCATACCGGGGGTTTAACGCATCGCCACTGATCGCTTTCCTGTTCGGACACTCAACCTAAAAGATCACGCACGCTCCATTAATGTGAATGATGACCTCGAGGATAGAACAATAAACGAAAGATAATCAAGATAAGCCGTCTGATAGTCCTCTTTTATTACACATTGTTGTGCCGTGCACAACAGACGGGACAAATCCCATAGTCTTGGGACCAACTGTTCACTCATGATGATCGGCAATCTAAGCCCTCCCCCTCCTTTCCTAAAAAACACATAAGGCCTCAATAAGTTATTTGTAATCAACTATTGCAAACTTTTTCTAATTGATAGGTATATCTTGTATACTATTCGTATTTCTAAAACAAATTATTGTACCTTGTGTATTTTGCAGCTAATCTTTTTGGGACTTCCGATGGTCATGTAAAAGACGCCTCCCAAGCATTCAATTCCGCTCCAAACGTACGACATGGTGTTCTGTCATCACTGGACACGAATGCTAGTGGAAAACAAGATAGCACCAAGCGTACTCCTGATCCATCCACTTCTGTCCCAATGGACACCAGTTCAGCTTGTTTGAACGAGGCGTTATTAGCCAATCAGTTGCTCCAGTCCCTGTCAGGTGCCCAAATGTCCTATCAGCGTCAGTTTCAACAACAACAACAGCAACAACAACAACAGCAGCAGCAGCAGCAGCAACAACAACAACAGACAGCACTATTGCTAGCTGGATTGGCCGGTTTCCCCACAAATTACCTGGATAGCTTCATGGCGGCATCTGGGTCATCTAATCGAACTGTTCAACCAGCCAGCTCTGTCAACACATCACCGACCAACGCACGGAATGATCAAGCATCAGGAAGCAATGCGGCCACAAATTTGGCTTATGCTCAGGCCATGATGATGGCTATGGCTGCTGCGTGTGGTGGTTTGAAGCCTTCTCCCGGTGTTCCAGGTTGGTGTTTTTGTTTGTGTGTCTTCGTGCGTGAGTCTTTGTGGGTCAGATATTACCGCATCTGAGCAGTGATTACTATCACAACTCTTGTAAAACGCCCAAGTCGAAATCTTAGTTATACTACTGTAAATACAGTCACTTCCCTTCCAGGGATATTTTGTCAAGTCTTTCATATACAACTACTTATTATGAAATGCTCTCTTAAGACACTCAGGTCATGTTTGTTGCGGTTAGTAGCATCTAACCACCTAAAAAGCATCGAATCTTAGTATTGATTCTTCAATAGACGAGCTCTGAAAGAACCGTTCATCCAAAATTACCCGGAGCTGCAAATGAGGTTATTGTGATAAGAGTACACTTCCTGGGTTCAAGCATATGAATGAACTGACAAACGATTACCGGATACGCATACCTGACGAGCAACAAGAACCGCGAAACCGGACGTGTGCTGCGATTGCTGATAACGTGGCGGGTTTTCGCCACCACAAAATAACCTCTAATTGCCCGTAGAAAGTGTCTTGAAATGTACACATCTGACCCACCACTAAATACGACCATCATCATCACTCTTTTTTCTACAAGGAACACTTGCCCATACAAGAGTCACAAACGCACCCTCAAAGAAATTAAGCGGATAGGTATTGGTCACGCCACCTTGCGTTGTATCCCTTGCGGTTTTCTCCTCCATAAAGTCAACTTGCAATCACATAGAAGAAAGTCTCCAAGAAGACCTAGAATAAAGCTTTCTCACGTGTTTGGTACACCATCGATTCCAGCATTTGGTATTTTCTATCTCTGTCCGTTATAGATCCTAATTTAGATGTACCTCAGTCGAAGTAGGTAGCACCGTACATTCAGTAACTTCAACTTTTTCTTTTTTCGTTAACTCATAGACACCATACTTTCTATTCCATTGTGAACATTTAATAAAGAAGAATCCACATTGACACTAGATAGACATTGACGCTGTACAACTAAGCGACGGATATGAAAGGGATCTGTGCATTTGGTTGCCTCTTCGATTTGAAGCGATTGCTGGACAACAGTGGCTGAGTGAGGTTAGACGTATTAGTCATTGTGCTTCTATGTCGAACAGCTCAGGCTGTTAGAGTGACCAACCTTCACGCTTGTTTTTTAGAATTAATATCATTGCTTCATTGGCTTCCTTTTCATTGATCAATTGGTAATACTACTTCTGTTTCTAGCTTGTTTTATGTCAGTCAGTAATAATCCATCCTCTTCCACTGATATCCTCCCCTCCCCCTACACCACAAACCATTTACATCAACAGGTGCTCTCAATTACGATATGCTTCCCTTCGGACCGTTTGGCTCGACCGGCACTAGTTCCCCATTGCCGCCCAATTTGGGCACTCCACAACCCGGCACAAGTGCAATCAATACACCCGGTGAACCGGCCGAATCGTTTAACGATGTGCTCAGTTTTCTTAGTCAATGCTTAAACAACTCTAAGAACGTACCCGATCGAGTGAGTTGGTTCCCAGTGTAGATGCATGTTTTCAGAATGGAAGAAGTTTGTTCAACCTTGCTTACAATCGCCTGAATTGCTGAACTCGCAAATCTGAAACAGAACTTATCTTTATCTCTGTTCAGGATCTTTTCCATCTGTAACCATTGATTTTAACTCTCTCTGGTCTGTAGAGCAGCCGAATTTCGAAACATTCTTCTGCCCGTTCCACTTGCCTCTTCTTACAATATCAGCACAAAATCGGTGATCCGATTTATCGATCTGCATTATTTCTAACCTGGTAGGTTTGTTCCTGACTTGTAACTTGATTTGCCCACGTTTTATGCCACTATTAACCGTTACATAATTTCCCATAAATCCATGTTTCCTTCCTACTCTACAGCCTGTTAACAACAATTCAATCACAACACGTCCGTCCTCTATGGAACACAAAGCATTCCCTTCAAGTCCAAGCATGCAACGACGTCCTGGACGTGCTGGATCGTCTTCCCGAATGCGGACATTAAGTAGCACACAAAATTCATCCTGGGAGCCTCACTCGGTCCCACCACCTACCCGTCATCGTGGTCGTGGTCGTCCACCCAAGTCTGCTGTCGCTCACTACCAAAGTCAGATTAAACATCACCAGCAACATCACAATCATCACCAACAGCAACAACAAAATCAGAACCAGCAATCACATCTTCCATCAGGATCCATGCCCAAGCTTCAAGTGAGTGTGCTCATTGCGTTAATGTTTGATCCTCCCGTGCATTATTTCGTCTTTGTTGCCCTGACCAAGGTTGCTCAAAACAGTCTGTTTTTCGCCCCTTCACGCTTCCATCAGATGGCTAAGTATGGTGCTCAGTCAGGCTAGCTTTGAGTCTCAGTCGCAAATTGATTATTGCTATTGCCATCTACCAGCACAACCATAACCATTAATATCGTGATGTCTTTGAGTTAATTTTTGCAATAATCAATGCTTTCGAGTACACACACTCATAACTCAACCTATCCTAGTGGTAATCCGATCAACGGTTGTTGAAGAACAAACAAGAAAAAAACACCGACACAGCGAACCTGTGGTGAATTGTGCTAACTTTCACCTATCTGGTTGACTGTTTGGATGCATTTTTTGCTCTGAATTCGGCGATGGATAGATCTGTTTGCTCGTGGGCACACCAGGCCTGGGGGCAGTTAGAAAGATTGGTTTTGTCTCCCAATTGGTCATGGACTGAACTGGGAATTTTTGGTTTTCCAACTCCAACGTTATGGTGTAATTCAGCTTTCAGCTGCTTGCTGCTGCCTCTTTCTCATCAGGGGACGGCACAACTATGATAGAGTTTTTTGTTGGTCTATAAATAGTTTGTTACTATACTTTACATACATTGACGAGTCATTTGCCTCTGCTCACCATATTTACCCTAACTCATGCCATCACATTTCTGGCTTGAATCATAATTGAAATCATCGCCGTTCATGTCTCTCCTTTTGCAGGAGGATTCAGAAGCATTTCCTTTGTCTGTGGATTCCACAGTCAGCTCGAGCTATGGTAGCCGGCGTCCATCAAGTACGACCAGCACAAGTGATTGTAGCATTGATGATACAATCGAAGAAGTGCTTCGACATTTGGCCGCCTGTGATCACGATCCGGCTATTGTGGCTAGTCGTTATGCGTCCAGCTCGCTCGGGATGGCGCTCAATCGAAAACGACGCANTCCACCTGCCCCGTCCACGCCAGTCAGTTGTAAATCGGAGAGTATACCGTACCGGACGGAACCGGGAGATCTATACACACACTCTGGTAAGTGCACAGTTTGAAAGTGTATACATATTTAATTCTTTTACAAATGTTTAAACTGGGAGAGATAGTCTGATAGAGGGCAATGCTAGCTCTTGGTTTTACCGAACTTCCTTTCGTCAGACAGTAGATATCAATGGTTCGCAGACCGTGCTCTGATACCATAGTTACTCACTTTCCACAACCATTAACTTCAAACTGTAGTACGGTGATTTGGGTTGCTTTGCCTTGGCTACGCATTTGCCCGACCGAAGAGGAAGTAGCGCTTGAAAAGACAAAGATCCTAAATCACCATCTAAAGGAAGATGCGGGAAGCCAGCAAAATAGAACTGCGTAACAGTGGGTAGTTTCGTGAGGATCATTTTTATGACACTCAGCTGCAGCAGTCAGTGTCTAGCCATGGTTTAGACTGATCATAAAGCCTCCAACCAGGGAGTCTAACGGAACCTGTGTAACCCAGAGCCCTGGCCATAGCTTTATGCCACGTCTTATTCCAACCAACTTTAACTATCTTTCATTCCTTAACTACACCGGTAAACCTCTCTGATGACATCCTTAACGCCAGTCGGTCCCGATCGTAGGAATCTATGGTCCAACACTCGCTTTAAAACCCGACCGTGACTACCCAAAACTGCTCAATTTCTTATGTGCCTCTCCGGTCGTCCTATCACAATCGTGCTATGCGGCACAGGTAGCGGCGTGTGAACACCGCTGATACCATGCGTTTCCTTTTCTAAGAAGTTTATGATGGCCGATATTGGTTCGTGTTGTATTCCTATACCAAAAAATTCTCGCTCATTTTTTCCTTAGAAGTTGAACGTGGAACAACTGTTCCCCAGACTAGCGATCCACACATCGTTCAACCTATTCGTTTTTGATGAGTTAGCTGTTCATGAGTATGGTTTCGGTGTAAATTAATGATTTAAGTGCGCAATAGATGTAGACAGAATTACAGTAGTATTGTAGTAGCAGCCTACATCGTTCTTATTCCATTTGTCAAGACTTGAGCACTCAAAATGAAAATCCCTCATCGATGTGTTTATTTTCCTTAGCAAAGCCCGAACTGTTTCCGATCAAATCCAAAATTAACTCGTGCATGGACAAAATCTAAAAGGACTTAGTACATCATTTCTGCATAAAGCCCTCCGTATCCATGATAGACTAAAAAGTCAGTCGTGGGTGTTCTTAT